CTAAAAGATGTATGTTAGTGACCAAAAGTGTTTCATCATAGAAAGTGAATGAATGAAGACTTTATGGAAGTCTGATGACAATCATTCCTATATGTATAAAGTGATACTTCAGAGGGAAAAAAAAGATTTGGGATCTTTACGGCCTCACTTGTTAAAATAGTTTTAAACTGATAGGAGTGCTTGAGTTACTGACATCTAAACAAATAGAAACATATTCTAGTAGATCTCAAAGGTCAACTACCTTTGAGGATTTTTGATATCTCTAAACTGAGGTGCTAGCCTAATTTTCGTGACAAAATATACACATTATTCACTCCTCGCCTTGTAGATGGTTTGTGTTACTCCTTTACAAAGTGAGCGTGCGACGGCATTATTCCTGATCTTCTTAGCCTCCTGGTTTCCACAACCCTTCCCATCGCCCTCAAAAAAAAGGAGCCACAAAATTAAGAAAAAATATCCAGCTGAAAGGGCAAGGTTTTCTAGAAGAGGAAAAAGAGTGGGGAAATGAATTATTTCAGACCAAAAGCAATTATATTTTGAAGGCAGAAGCAGACATCTTCTGGCACAACTGTCAAGATGTTACAAAAAGATTAAAGGAGGGTTTTTTTGTCATTTAAAATCTGTTTCTGGTTTGAAAAAAAAAGTGTGCTGTTCAGTTTGTGATTTTTAATAAGATTTCTCAAAGACTCGCTGCTTTAAAAAAAAAAAGTGTGAGGGAAAAAAAGAAGCAAAAAACTCGAAGGCCATGCAACCAACACTGTTGCAACTTTGATACAGTATCATTCATTTTCACCATTCTTGAGGATTTAGACAAGGTTTTTGTGGGAGGTTATACCCCATACAATAACCTGTCAACAAAATATACTTTTTGCAACGACTTTTCAGGATTTAAGCTTCTATGTGGTGAAAGTAGAAACATCAGATTAATTCCTTTCAAAACACTGTGAACTTTCACTTAGGCAGGCAAAGGCTGGTACTTTCCTCTGTTAACAGCATACCAACCTCTCCCTCATCCAGCCTCAAATGGCTATGTACTATTTTGTACCCATTCTTTGCAATTGTGGTTCCTTCTATTCTGTATCAAGGTTGTATATCAAACTTCTGCCTGGAGAAAGTGAGAAAGACATTGTAAAGACCTGACCAAGGTTATCCAGTCAAAGTGGACATGATTTCCAGAATATCCCCTGCCTTCTCCCCACCTTTGTGAAATATGTTCTGCTTTGGAACAGGTTCAGAGTCCTAATTTTATATACGAAAAGTGAACCACTTCTAAGTCGTTGTCTTCTTCACCCAGCTTTTCGTCCCTCCCGTTGGTAGAGTTCAGTATTCCCACTTGAAGGCTTCTCCTCTTCACCCTTGGTGGAAAGCCCTTTCTCCTGGTGCAAACAGGGGGTCCAAGTCCTGGCCCAGGTGTAGCTTAACAAATTGAGAAACTGAGGGACCCTGCAGGAGGAACTCGGTTGCTGAGTTCTCTCCTGATATTTTGTGTCTAATGACCAAGATCTTATGTGGCTTAAGGCTTGAGTAGGGTGAGTCTAGGAACTGTGCAAGGCCACATAAAATAAACATGTGAGGTGAGTCTTCCATGCAAATATTTTACACTCCTTTGAAAGAAGTAAGCTCTTTGCTCCGGAAGCAACTGGAGACAGGGTAGGACAATAATCACGGATGTACTATGGGTGCCTTCAGTAAGATCTATACCAAGGGAGCAGTGGATGACCACTCCCAGGGTCTCTACTCCTTCCATTTATATCTCATCCAGGGAAAGGTCAGATACCAACTTTCCCTGGAAAAGTGGACCTAGAAAATAGCCAAGTTCCCAAGTTCTCTCCCCTGACTGATACCAGTGATAACCTTCATCTTTCTTTTATTTCACTCAAACCCCTATCAAAATTATCTTCCTCGATCATTTCATTTCATCAGATATACCCCAGGCCCCTCTAAAATACTGACAGGCTTGAGCATGCCTTCGCTTGATTCTTACACCACTTTTAAATAACATGCAAATCAATCCTTCGGCATTCAAGTCGGCAAACTAAAATTTTAACATGTGTTTTTGTTTGGTTTTGTTTTTTGTTCTTTTAATTTTAATGTTTCCCAAATGGAAAAGCTAAGAATCTAAGGAAGGTTATTTTGAGTGAAGAAATACGACACTCCCAGAAATTTAGAATTAAAAAAATATCTACTTTCTCATTGAACTGAGCTTTATGCCTTTGGCCAGTCATCCCTACCAGCTAGTAATGTGAAAGAAGAGAGATGATAAAACTTAACTCAGCATATATTAATTGCTAGAATGTGTCTTTTAAAAAGAAAATTTGCTAAGAAAGCAGTTGAAAATAATATGGGTGTTTTTTTGGTTTTTGTTTTTTGTTTTTTTGACATTTTAGACCACTTCATATTTCCTGGAGTCACGTGGCAAATAAAACGAAAAGAAGATTACAATGAGACAAAGGAAGTATTTTTAAAGAGCATAATTACCGCACACTAACAATGTATCATACCATCGCCTAGACTTTCCCTATACAGTGTCTTATCCAGTCCACATAACAATATCCAAACATGGGGTTCTGATCTTATTTGATGAAGCACTAGGAAGAGATAAGGGAACTAAGTCAATGCTGTGAACTGAATGTTTGTGATTTCTTTCCCTAGATTCACGCCGAGAAACCATAACCATCCATAAAACATGGTGAGAGAAGAGGCCTTTGGACAATGACCAGACCATGATGTCATTGCCTTCATGAATAGGGCTTGTATCCTTCCTAGGAGAGATATGAGGGTTAGAAGTGTGACTTAGTGGGAGAAAACACATGCCTGGTACTTATGACACCCTGAGTTTAATCCCTGGAACCAGAGAGAGAGATTGAGAAAGATAGAGGCAGAGATAGACAGAGACAGAGACAGAGAAAGACAATCAGACAGAGAGAGACAGAGGCAGAGGCAGAGAGAGAGAGATGGAGATAGACACAGAGAGAGAGCACTTCCTTCCCATCTCTCTTGTATCCTGAGGATATGGTGGGAAGGCATCATCTGCAGATGAGGAAGCGCACCCTCCCTCCGGAGACACCAGATCTGCCAATGCCTAGATCTTGAACTTCCAAGCCTCCAGGACTATGAGAATAAATTTCTGTCATTTAAGCCACCCAATCCACAGTAGTTTGTTATAGCAACTCAAACTAGCTAATAAGTACAGAACTGCAAAGCTCGGCTAACCAGATGACACAGTGAAGACATGGGGAAGTACTCGATCCTTTTTCCCTCCCCTTCCATTACCTCCCAGGTCTCATTGCACATCCACAGACAGCAGCCCAGTGGCCTGGCCCATCAAAGAGAGTGAAAGCCCAAGCCACCAGGGTAGACAGAGATCAGGAGGGAGAGCCTGGGATCATCAATCAATCTCCAGTTCAGCGTGAACCTCCTCATGACCCAGCAACCATGTGGAAGATAGAATTCCCCACTCCAGCTCCCTGCCTTCGGAAGCCGGACCGCAACAATCAAGCGATCATAATTCCCTGGGGCAAACCTACCTGCTCAGTGTATCTAATTGAGAGGAAGGGGTGACACAGGTACACACAAACGGGGAAAAAATGTGCTCAGGGTATTTTGTATTTGTCAATGCGCAGTTGGCACGGGAGTGACCCATGGTATTGAAGCGGGACTGGCTGAGGGAAGACAGGGCTGCTGCACGGAAAGGGGATTGCGGAGGATGAAAGTGAGGCCGACAACTCAGAATTTCTCCCTTTTGAATTTCAACCTGTTGGATAAAAACAATAGCAAATGAGGCACTGAATATGCATGAGGCAGGGAAGGTATTTTAAGTTTTGCAGGAGACAGCTCGCTGAACGGAATTGCTAATTATGTCTCACATTGCTCCGTCCAATTCAGTTAGCTTGATTATGGCTGAGTTGTCAACTCCCCTGCTCTTGAGGTTCCACGGTTTCGGCCCGTTCTGAGGCTTAATACTAAATTAGAATTACATTTTTCAAAAAAAAAAAATGTTTTCCCTTATTGAAGTGCCTGCTTTAACCATTGTGACAATATAACCTTTCTCAACAAAAATAAAATTAAAGCCGCCAAGGGTTCAGATTCAAGGGTTTTTGGAGTTGGTGGAATGTGAGGAATGTAATCGCAGCTGTGACAATTGCAAATTAAGATTGAACAATGAGCCAAATTAAAAGGGTGAGAAGGAGCAGAACACCATATGGAAAGACTTGCTGCTGCCCCCACAGGATATCTTTGATTTCTTAGGATGAGCAGGATTAGCCAACTGAGGAATGGACTAAAGAGAGCCTGGGCTCTCACTAGCCCCAACCACTGCCTTCACTAGAGCAACCCAGGAGCCTCCCTTTGCTTTTAAAGTGGAACTTCACTTCAACCATGGTACTGGTCCAAGAGAGGGAGTAGAGTAAAGCCCTCTTGGGACAGTTAAACCAGTTCTGGGCCCCTTCTGACTGAGCGAGAGTCTTCAGCACTGCTACAGAACAGCTGAGAAAACAATCAAAGTGGAGAAGGATCTGTTTTGCTACCAGGTCGGATGTTTGAGGCCGTCATGGCAGGGAGGTTGTGTTGGAGCAAGGCAGCTTGCCGTATGGTAAACAGGAAGCAGAGGAAGGAGAAAAGACAGGACACAGCCCCAGCTACCTTTTATCGCCTTCTAATCGCACCATCATATCTGTTAGTTCATTGAGGAATTAATCTGATGGGTAGGTCAGGGCCCTTGAAATGCAATCACTATCCACAAACCCAACAGCTGCCAATAAGCTCTCAGTGCAAGAGCCTTTGAGTGAGCCTTTTAGGAGTTTGGGAAGAGTTCACCATAAACGTAAAGGAAAGAGTGCATGAGAGACTCCATCAAATGACTATTATTAGAGTAAGTCCAGCCATAGCTTTTTGTCAACTGCATTATATTCTCATCAAGCCTTTCACCAACATGCGAAGGACAATGGATAGTAGAGAGGAGAAAAAAAAATGAGGACACAAGCAATGTGCCTGGGACCCACCTAATGCTTCACCTCAAAGGGAAAGTAGCACTGTTCCCACCTCTTTGCAGAAAGAAACACTGCTTGAGAGACATGAAGGTCCGGAGCACAGGTCCAGAGCAAGGATGCAGGCAGAAATGTCTGCAGTGGCAGCCCTCCTGTGCTGGAGTGCATCAAGTGGCAGGCAACAGCAGCAGCAGCTGGCCGAGCAGCCTAATTTCAAGAGAAGGGTCTTATCTGAGAACATTTATAACATATCCCCCAGAAATGATCTGGGCAAGGGGGTGAAATATTTCTTAAGAGGGTTGGGCATTATGGTAGAGTGGGGAAATTATGGCTATAATATAAGAAGCCCAGATTATCCTATCTAGGAGTCACGGAAAGAGATCCAAGTCTCTCTGGCCTAGAGCTCCAGCCAGTTGCTAAGCAGACTGCTGACCACAAATATATCAGGGAGTTCAGCCTGTATCACATGGAACAGAGATGAGCTACCCCAGCTGAGCTGTGCCCAACAGCAAAAGTATAAGTAATAAATGGTGGTTATTTTATGATACTGTGCATGGTACTAGATAACTGATACAGTCAGTACTAAATATACTACATTTATTCCTGGTAAACCCCACTTTCGAGTCAGGGGAAAAAATAGATTTTGAAAGCAATCCTAATTGTTCCCAAGCAATGTCTGAGGCTGACCTTAATCAGTGGCACTAGAGCAGTAACAATCATCTTTCATACTAAAATTCAAGTTTCAGCTACAGTGCATCGTTCTGCCTGAGCAGAAAAGTCTCCAATAGCAACAGATTCTATGCCCACATCTGTCTTCCCTGAATAGCATCAGAAGAGTGTTATGTGCATGCACTTCAGTCTCCGAGATGTACCAACCTCAAAAATGAGTCAGGGGCTCAGGGTACCACTGCTTTATTCAGGCTTGGTCATTCACTGTACTGGGTTGCTAGCAGAACTGACCCCAAACATCCCCATCTGGAAAAGAGAAAATAAAAGTCACATCTATAACTAAAGCAGCCAAGTGACAGGAGAAGGGGGAGAGAAGCCAGCTGCAAAAAAAAAAAAAAAATAGCAAACAAACACATTCAATGTTATGGTGGTGGATGCTGTTTTCAAATGCGGTGGGTGGTTCTGGTAGTTCACCTGTCTCAAGAGCATAACCAGAAGATATCTTAAGCAATATGCAGGATTGTTTTTATTTTTTTCTTTTGAAACCTAAGTAATGGGGAAGTTGGAAGGTGTCATTTTTTTAAATCTGAAATTTTCCTTATTTCTGTTTCTTATCCTGTCCCACTTTGACCTAAACTCAAGTATCATCGTTGGGGCAGACGCTTTCTTAAACAGGCTGTCCCCCACACCACCCCCTACCTCAATTGACTCTTCTGTGTCCTCATGCATCTCCATTGCTCCAGCTCAATTAAGGTTCTATTAGCTCTATCTGAGCTTACAATCCAACTTGAACACTCAGTGATTGTGGAAATACAGATATATTTCTTATTTTCAATGATATTGGATTAGGCTGTCATCCTTAAGCAGCCAAGGTGGAGAAATTAAAATCACATCATGAAATGCAGCAACTGTTTATTCACTTGAACTCTTCCTCACAGAGGCTCTAGAGGCAAGTACATCAAGATGTTGTTTATAATTAAGTAAAATTACCCCAAAAATACATCCTGTTGCATATGATTTGTTATGTCTCTGGATGCCTGTCTTTAAAGAGAGAGTAATTGGTTGTATTGCAATGGGTTTGCCTGCTTGCTGTGATGATGGATGCCAGTTGGAAGGCTCAACTCTAAGTTGATGGTGCTTATAAGAAAAGCATTCCCATGATTCTAGTCAAAAGGTTTAGCCCCTGCTTTTCAGTTTCAACAACATAACACACACCGAAAAACTAAACTAAACTCCATTCCCTGCATGTTGATATTGAACTTCATCTCTGTAACTAAAGACAGCAAGAAAGGAAAAGTCCAAACTAAGGCAAACCTAAGCCCCAGCAGGAACAAAGAACGAAAGTCTGAGAATATCCGAATAACCAATGGGAAGAACCAGAAAGGAGTCTCTGTCTGATGTCACTTAAATCATATTCAAGATGCATCCTCTGAGTAGAAGAGAGGTCAGGGACTCAAGATGGTGTTCCTGCAGCCGCCACTGAAGTGAGCATTTATCATGACTAGCTCCAGGTGAGAAGAAAGGGCCTTCCTTCCTCTCCCCTAATCCTCTTATGGTGTGGCCTGCTGGAGATCTTTCCTTGATGTTTACAATAAACTCCTTCAAAGGCTGTTTAACTACTACAGTTCTGAAGGCAACTCTGAGATGCCCAGGATCAAATACCATCCTATAAATAACAAAGCCTAGCTGTTTTCTTTTTCTTCCTAAAAATTTTAATACTTACAATGTATCAGGCAATGGCACAAAAAAGTTTTACATCAGCTATTTCTGACCATGAATGCAGCTTGTACCATCCATTCCTCCAGGAAGCCACTGCATCCATTCTTTAGTCACATGACAGTGGGATAAGGGACACTCCTAATGCCATTTGGTCAGGACTAGGCAACATAATAAGATTTAAATGACCAATACTATTCATGGCACTACAGGTCCAGAGCAGTGATATGGCCCAGGTACAATCAATCACATTATTTCCTTATACTTTTTAATTTTTTCATTGCTGAGAATCAAACCCAGGACCTTTAGTATTAAGTAAAACATCATGATTTTGTGTGTGTTTGTGTGTGCCCTCATATGTGTGTGTGTTACAGATGGTTGTGAGATGCCCAATATGGGTGCTCAGACCTCTGGAAGAGCAGTAAGCACTCCTAACCCCTAATCCACCTCTTCAACCCCACATCATGATTTCTTTAAGCCAATGAAGCATTTAATTTTAAATTAGAGAACCTGGTGGCAATGAAATACCATTATCCTCAACATATCCAATCCCTGTTTGCAATAAATGATTGAGCCTAAAAGAAGCAAATCAAAGAAAGGGAACAGATCACATGTGAGTCTCTGGATAGTTCCCATCCTAACTACTTGTGAGAGCATCATTAAATTATAGACATATGTAGTAGAAGTTTTTCTGTGTCCCAGCCTGCCGGCAGTTGGGACAAATCTCTCCCACTAGCGTCCCCCAAGTAAACACACAGAGGCTTATATTAATTAAAACTGCTCAGCCATTAGCTCAGGCCTGCTACTGACTAGCTCTGACACTTAAACTCAGCCCATTTCTGTTAATCTATATGTCGACACGTGTTCCCGTGGCTTTACCTGTGTGTCATTACATGCTGGATGGCGGGCTGGCGTCCCCTGATTCAGCCTTCCTCTTCCCAGAATTCTCCTTGTCTGCTTATCCTACCTATACTTCCTCTCTGGCTACTGGCCAATCAGCATTTTATTAAACCATTACACATTAAACAATAATGCTAATGTACAAAAGCATTATTCCACAGCAGACATGTGGAGATGTCTGTGCAAATATAGATACTGAAGAGGATTAGCTACCACACTCTCTTTTGCTTCAGCAAAAGTTGCTGACATAACCAAAGAGCCCTGATTATTGGCATAGTTGTTATTATTTTTCTCTCCAAAGATGGGAAAATTGAAACACCAAAGAGTTAAATAATATTTCCAAGATCACAATGATGTGAATGACAGAAACTTGGTTCAAACTAAACTCACTGTAACTCCAGAGTCAGGGCCCTTAATGATCACAATATATAATCTATTAAGTAAATCTATTGTGCTAGCCATTTTCAGAATAAAACCAGAAACAAAAATGTTCTTTGAAAAACAGTTCTGAAGGAGAAGTAGAAAGGAGCTGATGGTATAACAGATCCTGGGCTGATATTGTGTTAACAGCTGCATGGTGAGTTTTCAGTGCCAAGCTGATATGAGCTAGAGTCATCTGGGAAGAGGGAAGGACCTTCCACTGAAAATTCGCTTCATCAAATTGGCCTATAGCCATATCTTCCAGAGACTCTCTTCAAATGATGATTGGTGTGGGAAGACCCAGCCCACTGTGGGCAGCACCATCCGTAGGCAGATAAGCCTGGGCTATATAAGAAAACTATCTGAGCACGAACAGAAAGCAGCATCCTCCATGGTTTCTGCTTCAGTTCCGGCTTGACTTCCCTCAATAATAGTTTGTGATCTGGAAACGTAAGCCAAATTAGCCCTTTCCTCTTCCAACTTGCTTTTGGTCATGATGCTTATTAAAGCAAGAAGAGAGCAAACTAAAACAATGGCAGTCTTCAAAAACACATTATGTTTGTCATTACTTGATTTATTCTTCAAAACAGCTCTGTGGAGTGATAGTGCAAGGATTTTGCTATCTACTTTGCAGGTAAGGACAGTATCTCCCAAGGTAGTTATGGGATGAAATGAAACCAAGTCTGGACACTGTCCCTCTAAATCCAAGCCAGTTCTTATCTCGTCACTATACTAATTATTGCCTTTTAAGTCACAGAAGCATTGTTATGACATTCAGAAAAAAGACAAAGTTCAGAGACCAAGAATTTAAATCTCCCACTCAATACCAAACCACTTGGGCAGTTTCTGATTTAAAATATATAAATATATAAATATATATCCAAAGCTGTAAACAGTAAGGAATTTTTTTCAGCCATAGTAATTCTTATACTCATATTCATTTCAATATATTTTTAATTGAAACAGAATTATATCACTTTTCCCTTCTGTCCTTCCTCCCGTCTCTCCAAGCCACCCTCCCTCAAACCCCCTCCATGCCTCTCACGCTCTCAAGTTCACAGCATCTTTCTTTGATTTTTATTGTTACATACATAACATTGGTTATCCAATGTAGAGGGGTCAGCCTTGTAACTGTATACACACTGACTCCTATACACGTATGTACTGAGTATTTTCTTCTAATTCTTTTGTATATCTTAAGTTTGGAATATATTTTTAAGTAAGGTGTTATATGAAAGTAGCTTTCATCCTTCTATGAAATTGACAATTCATGAGCATATGTTACAGATTCATCTAATTATTTTACTCTCTCTCTCTCTCTCTCTCTCTCTCTCTCTCTCTCTATATATATATATATATATATATATATATATATATACTCTCTTTGTTTTTTTCTGAGCTATTATTTCTATAATCTTAGTATAGGAAACTAAATTTAAAAGACAGCTGGACAGTGGTGGTGCGTGCCTTTAATCCCAGCACTCAGGAGGCAGACTTAGGCAGATCTTTGAGTTCAAGGCTAGCTTGGTTTATAGAGTGAGTTCTAGGAAAGCCAGGGCTACACAAAGAAGCTCTATCTGGAAAAACCAATAAATAAATAATTAAATGACAAAGAACAAAATGGGAAAAGACAAAGACTTTTTATTTGTGAAAACACACAATATCAACTGATTTTTAAAAATGTAGGTCTACAAACTAGAAATATGTATATTTGCATATATATGAGATGATTGAACAAAACCCTTAATTTACAGAATTGTTACATATACTGAAAGACGTGTTCAAGTAAAAAGGTGATGGGGACTATTAGTAACAGTAATTTACAGGAAAAAAAAAACATAGAAACTGATGACAAACCACTGTAACAACTTCACTAGTGACATGGAGAAATTGTCACCTTCATCTGCTGCTACAAACTCAGAAATAATTGGTACCTTTGTGAAATTCAGAGAGTATCTAAAAGATTGATGTATACTGTCTATTGATTATCTTCCTAGGAACTTCCCTAAAGAAACAAGGATGTGGGAAAGTTGTTTCCTTCCAAGGTGCCCATTAGCCCACTTTATCGGCCAACAAAGAATTGCAATGGTAAACAATACCTGATTGTATTAGCTACTTCTCTTGTCACTATGACGTAGCATCTAACAGAAGCAATGTAAGAATGAAAAGGTTTGTTTAGACTTACGGTCTAGAGGGTTTGGAGCATCATGATGGGAAAGCATGGCAGCTGAATGCTTGGTCTATGGTAGTAGGAGTTTGCCTTGTGGCTGATT